ACAGCTAAAAGAAGTAAGAAGGCAATGCTTGTGGAATGTACCATGCATGTTGGCTGTGCACGCCTCATTAAGATTCGCCTGCTTGCTTTTCCTGTTCAGTCATTTCTTTGGAAGGCAGTGGATTTTTCTCCTGAGTTTCTGTCTTCTTCAATTTTGATTTATCAAATTTCTCACTCTAAGCCATATTGGGTTTGTCAGACTCAGTTGCAGAGGAAGGGGAGTGAGGCGCATGAGCCAGCAAAGTCCGTTCTGCAGTGGCCACCACCAAGTCTCTGTATTTCTAAATATTGGTTATACCTAGAGTATAACTTCATATCCCATATTTAACACTAGTTATTGGCAACTACTTATTTTTCTTCCACAGTTTTTTTTGGGGGGGAGGGTGGAGAACACAGCTCAGAACAAGAAAAACATAGAAGACCTTTCTCTGATCATTCAAAGCAGATAGTGAGAAGTCTATGCACTGATTCAAGACCTTGGGTCCCTACCCTAATGTCTGTGGTTAAAAATTATTGTTTTAGAGATAATATTAGTATATCTGTTGAAATCAAAAACAGCAAGTCAGAGCAGTAAATTAGGATTAGGCAGGGGTTCTGCAGAGCACTAACAGCAGAGAGTGGTGACATGTGGTAGTCTAACATTAACAAATGAGAACGAAAAGCAAGTCAAAAATTAAGCAAAAATATGGTGATCATTTTGCAATATAGACAAATATCGAATCATGGTGTACACCTGAAACTAATATAATATTGTGTCAATTGAATCTCAATTAGAAAAAGAATATGTTGTTTTATAGATTTAGTAATGATGTTCTATAGACATAAGACATTTAAAAAATATTGAAGGCTACTACATGCTACTCACTGTTGATAGTACACAAAGATTTAGTGCACCAAACAACTTAGGTCCCTGCTGTCATGGAGTTTATCATCTGGGCAGGGTTGTGGAGAAAGATCACACACACACACACACACACACACAAACATACACAAAATCTCTTACTAAAGAGCCCCCCCGCACCAAGAAAAAAGAATTAAGCAAATACAGAAGTATGGAGACAGTTAATGTACAGACAACAGCCTTTCCTGCCTCAATGGTGTTTGACTTTATTCCTATGTTATAGAATGGTATATGAATGAAGGTTTATATTTATCAGATGGCACAGAGTAGACACTCCAGAAATGCTTTTTGAATGGGTCATTAAGAAAAGGCTAGGGTAAGGCTGTCATTGAAAATGAAGAGATACAAAGCTTCCAGGACAAACAGAAACGAAAAGAATTTGCAATCACCAAACCAGCCCTACAAAAAATATTGAAAGGGTTGCTCTAAGCAAAGAGAGAGCCCAAAAGTAACATAGACCAGAAAGGAACAGAGACAATATACAGTAACAGTCATCTTACAGGCAATACAATGGCACTAAATTCATATCTTTCAATAGTTACCCTGAATGTAAATGCGCTAAATGCCCCAATCAAAAGACACAGGATATCAAATTGGATAAAGAAGCAAGACCCATCGATATGCTGTCTGCAAGAGACTCATTTTAGACCCAAAAACACCTCCAGATTTAAAGTGAGGGGGTGGAAAACCATTTATCATGCTAATGGACATCAAAAGAAAGCTGGGCTGGCAATCCTTATATCAGACAAATTAGATTTTATTTATTTATTTATTTATTTATTTATTTATTTTAAAGATTTTATTTATTTATTTGAGAGAGAGAGAATGAGAGATAGAGAGCATGAGAGGGAAGAGGGTCAGAGGGAGAAGCAGACTCCCCGCTGAGCAGGGAGCCCGATGCGGGACTCGATCCCGGGACTCCAGGATCATGACCTGAGCCGAAGACAGTCGCTTAACCAACTGAGCCACCCAGGCGCCCAGACAAATTAGATTTTAAACCAAAGACTGTAATAAGAGATGAGGAAGGACACTATATCCTACTTAAAGGGTCTATCCAACAAGAAGATCTAACAACTGTAAATATTTCTGCCCCTAACACGGGAGCAGCAAATTACATAATCCAATTAATAACAAAATCAAAGAAACACATCAACAACAATACAATACAACAGCAATACAACAACAATACAATAAAGTCCAGTAGGGGACTTTAACAGCTCCCTCACAGAAATGGACAGATCATCTAAGCAAAAGATCAATGAGGAAATAAGGGCTTTAAATGACACACTGGACTAGATGGCCTTCACAGATATATTCAGAACATTCCATCCCAAAGCTACAGAATACACATTCTTCTCTGGTGCACATGGAACATTCTCCAGAATAGATCACATCCTGGGTCACAAATCAGGTCTCAACCAGTACCAAAAGACTGCATATTTTCAGACCACAATGCTTTGAAACTCGAGCTCAATCATAAGAGGAAAGTTGGAAAGAACTCAAATACATGGAGGCTGAAGAGCATCCTACTAAAGAATGAATGGGTCAACCAGGAAATTAAAGAAGAATTAAAAAACTTCATGGAAACAAGTGAAAATGAAAACACAACAAAATCTTTGGGATGTGGCAAAGGCTGTCCTAAGGGGGAAGAATACAGCGATGCAAGTCTTTCTTAAGAAACAAGAAAGGTCTCAAATACACAACCTAACCCTACACCTAAAGGAGCTGGAGAAAGAACAGCAAATAAAGCCTAAACCCAGTAAGAGAAGAGAAATAATAAAGAGTAGAGCAGAAATCAATGAAATAGAAGCCAAAGGAACAGTGAACAGTTCAATGAAGCTAGGAGCTCATTCCTTGAAAGAATTAATATGATTGATAGACCTGTGGCCAGACTTATAAAAAGAAAAGAGAAAGGACCCAAATAAATAAAATCATAATGAAAGAGGAGAGATCACAACCAACACCGAAGAAATACAATTATAAGAACATATTATGAGCGACTATATGCCAATGAATTAGACAATCTGGAAGAAATGAATGCATTCCTAGAGACGTATAAACTACCAAAACTACACCAGGAAGAAATAGAAAACCTGAACAGACCCATAACCAGCAAGGAAATTGAAGCAGTAATCAAAAATCTCCCAACAAACAAGAGCCCAGGGCCAAATGGCTTCCCAGGGGAATTCTACCACATTTAAAGAAGAATTCTATTCTTCTGAAACTATTGCAAAAAATAGAAATGGAAGGAAAACTTCCAAACTCATTTTATGAGGCCAGCCTTTACCTTGATCCCAAAACCAAAGACCCCACCAAAAAGGAGAATTACAGACCAATATCCCTGATGAACATGGATGCAAAAATTCTCACCAAAATACTAGCCAATAGGATCCAACAGTACATTAAAAGGATTATTCACCATGAACAAGTGAGATTTATTCCTGAGCTACAAGTTTGGTTCAACATTTGCAAATCAATCGGTGTGATACACTACATTAATAAAAGAAAGGACAAGAACCATATGATACTCTCAATAGATACAGAAAAAGCATTTGACAAAGTACAGCATCCTTTCTTGATTAAAATTCCTCACAGTATAGGGATGGAGGGTACATACCTCAATATCATAAAAGCCATCTATGAAAAACCCACAGCAAATATCATTCTCAACAGGGAAAAACTGAGAGCTTTTCCCCTAAGGTCAGGAACACGGCAGGGATGTCCACTATCACCACTGCTGTTCAACATAGTACTAGACATCCTAGCCTCAGCAATCAGATAACAAAAAGAAAGAAAAGGCATCTGAATCAGCAAAGAAGTAGTTAAATTCTCACTCTTTGCAGATGATATGATACTTTATGTGGAAAACCCGAAGGACTCCATCCCAAAATTGCTAGAATTCATACAGGAATTCAGTAAAGTGGCAGGATATAAAATCAATGCACAGAAATCAGTTGCCTTTCTATACACCAGCAACAAGACAGAACAAAGAGCAATTAAGAAGTTGATCCCATTTACAGTTGCACCAAAAACCATAAGATACCTAGGAATAAATCTAACCAAAGAGGCGAAGGATCTGTACTCAGATAACTATAGAGTACTCATGAAAGAAATTGAGGAAGGCACAAAGAAATGGAAAAACGTTCCATGCTCATGGATTGGAAGAACAAATATTGTGAAGATGTCAATGCTACCTAGAGCAATCTACACATTCAGTGCAATCCCTATCAAAGTACCATCAACTTTTTTCACAGAGCTGGAACAAATAATCCTAAAATTTGCAATGTCCACAATAGCCAAACTATGGAAAAAGCCTAGATGTCCATCGACAGATGAATGGATAAAGAAGATGATTTGCTAGGGAAGAAACCAGAGAGGGAGACAAACCATAAAAGACTCTTAATCTTAGGAAACAAACCGAGGGTTGCTGGAGTGGAGGGGGGTGGGATGAAGTGGTTGGTGATTGACATTAGGGAGGGTATGTGTTTTGATGAGCGCTGTTTATTCTGTAAGACTGATGAATCACAGACCTGTACTCCTGAAACAAATAATACATTATATGTTAATTAAAAAAGAAAAGAAAAGGCTAGGGTGAAATAGGTGATGGGGATTAAGGGTCGAACTTGTGATGAGCACCAGGCGTTGTATGGAAGTGTTAACCACTAAATTGTACACCAGAAACTAACATTACATTCTATGTTAAGTAACTGAAATTTAAATAAAAACTTATAAAAAGTCTAGATTATACTTGGCTAGTTCTATTTATAGGATAAAAGGAACTCTGTCACAGTTTTATAGAATTTATAGAATTTCCTTTATAGAATAAAAGCAAATATGTGATAGAGTTCCTTTTATCCTAGAAAGATTTTATTCAAAAATTTATTGTTATTATTAAGTACATTTTTGGAACTTAAAAGGGTGAGCTTTAGTTACTAGGAAAGTTAACTTTGGGGAATGACCTTACTTTCTGTTAATTCTAAATTAATTAGGAATTACCATTATTTGATTCTGCATTTCATATTTACTTTTTTATTTACTAGCACTAGATTCTATCGCATGAGTGCTTAAATAAATTATTTTTTATTTCCTTTGAATTTTAGAAGTCTCTACTATCTGGGCAAACGTGTCAGAATTTGTGGAACGACAACTATCCCTACACAAGGTAAGATTTATACTTTAAGTTTAATGCAAGAGTCCAAAGGACTTTTCCTCCTTAGTCTTGTATAAGTTTGCTGTGAACAAGATAGCCGACTTTAGGGCCATCCAATTTAACTTTCAGTCCTGTAATTTTATGATGCTCCCACTTACGACTTATGGATAGTAGATTTAACAAACATGGATTTAATTTTTAGGTAATGAATTCATAAAAGTTCTGCTCTTCTAGTTGATACCAAGCAGATCACTGACTAGCCTGGCTATGTGTAGAGGAGCTAGATGAATTCTGTTTATCTGTGATTTGATAGTTCCTGGCATAGTTATAGAAGGATATACTGCTTCCTGTTTTGCCTCCTTGAAGGGAATGGGTTTTAACTTAAATACAAGAAGACAATCAGAGACTGAACTCATCTTGCCAAAAATGAGAAACTGTGCCCAGCCTTGAGTTTGGATGCCATAGAACTGAACAGATATTTGAGGAGTTTGGGGGGAGCTGGAAAATTGTGGAACTTATATGCTACTCAGAGGTCCCAATATAACAGCCCTTGGGCCAAATTCATCCTTCAAACTTTGGTTTGGTCTGATAATTTGAATTAGTCATCACCACCTAAAATTTGGGGAGTCTATATAAAGTTTTGCATCTGTTTCTCTCTTTTCTTGAAAAATCAGCAGATTTAACAATACCAGTTTTCCATTCCTGCATGATGACACTTGGCTGGAGCCAACAATGGGCTCTCGCCTTTGAATGGGATTTGTACTTTCTAGCCACTGTATTCTCTGGTTGGCTACCTTCACTCCCTTGCATTCTTTCATGGTGCCTGTAGGCATTTGTAACCCTTGAGGTATGATATTTCCAGGGAGACAGAGACCCAGTTTGAGAGCCAAAAACATTTGCTTTTACCCATCAGCCAAGATCACTACACTGCAACATATGCCTTGGATGCTGGATTGTCTGATTTTAAATGAGAGACAAAACCTAAAAGATGGAATGAGAAAGCAGAGATTCTTGTGGCCTCTTAAATTCCCTCTCTCTAATGGCAAATGATTAAAATTTAGAATTTCACACAATTTAGGACAAGAGGACTCTTTTTTTTTTTTAAGGATTTTATTTATTTATTTGAGAGAGAGTAAATGTGAGAGAGCATGAGGGCAGCGTGGGGGGCGGGGTGGAGAGGCAGATGGAGAGGGAGAAGCAGATGAGCAGGGAGCCCAACGTGGGGCTCCATTGGAGGACCCTGGGGTCATGACCTGAGCCAAAGACAGACGCTTAACCAACTGAGCCACCCAGGTACCCAGGATAAGAGGAATCTTAAAAATAGATTAAAAGTAGCTATGGCACCTATACAAGTTTTCTTAGTCCTCACAGCCCTTGAATGATAATGAAGATGGGCGATCTGATGTCAGAAGCATTGGAGATCAATATATTACATTTATATTTATATGGAAACTTAGAGTCATAATGTGCTATAGCTATAGGAGATTGTAGGGATCATTGACTGTTTTAATGCTTAATTCTTTCCATGTTTTTTGGATAATGGTACTAAGGGTTATTTTTCCTTACCCCTTCAGTGAATTCTGGTTGTTACTCTTTTTTTCCCCCTCCTTTTTTCTTTCAGGGGGTTCAGATCCCAGGACTTGGAATTTTCACTTTCATGAGACAAAAACTTGAGGTGGGAAACAACAAGTTTATTCTGATTCAGAGGCCCATATTTATCATGGCGGAGAAATTAGTACAGATTCATGGACTCAAGCAAAACAAAATATATATTCCTGGTAAGTATCTTCAACATTTAAGACCTTCTCAGAAAGTAACTGGGCTGGGGATGAAAATGAAAGGGCAAAGTCTGTTCATTTGCTACGTTACCAGTTTCTGATTTGAGGAGCTCTCTTGTCACATGGTCCCTTTGGAAGAGTGGGGGGCCAACGCAGGAAATGATATACAGTCTTCCTGAAGGCCATTTTAAACCTCAGTGGCTTAAGAGGCAGGCATGGGAAGACTTGATGTGACATCAACATCAAGACAAATTTATATAAATGCCACATTACAGAGTTGTGCAGACTTTATTCATTTTTTTAGCCCTCAGAAGTTAAAATGGCTATACTGAAAAAGTTAATTAGGGTTTCTGGTTAGAATTATAGTCCATATTAGCTATGAAAAAGATCACTAACTGTTTCTATCATATGTAATCTAAATTATTAAAATTTAAAAGTGAGAAGCTTAGTAATTCCATAGACGATTCCAACGAACACCTTGTATACCTTTCACACCCTAAAATCTTTTTTCCTTCTACCCTCCTTCCCTCTGCCTTCCTTTCTTCCCTCTTTCCACAAATATTTTCTGAGGCCCAACTATGTGTCAGGCTTTGTTCCAGGAGTTTGAGATGTAGTGGTAAACAAAACAGGCATGACACCTGACACAGGATGCTTGCTTACATTCCAGCTTTGGTGTGTGGACTTAGTGACACCTGCCCTTTGGGGGCTTCCTTCCCAATTTCTGGGCTGTGTTCCTTTTGACCTTCCTTATTATCCCCTACTGCATCAGACTCATACATGGATAAAGAGAGACAGTCTACCCCCAAAGTCAGCAAGTGAAAAGGCTAAAATTTGTCTTTATGTGAACTTTCCTGAAAGCTAATTTTCAGAGTAACTTCCCACCAAAAAATGAAAGATTGGAAAAACAAATACCAACAAATTATACTTTAGACTTCATTATGCATATAATCTGTATGGTAGATTTGATTGACTTTTCAGACGTTTTTACCTAGAGTTTTATGGACATATAATATCCTAATTCATCAAAAACCTACCAAATAAAGTAAAAATATAGCCAACTTTTTTTTTTTTTGACAAAAACATTTGCTCCTTAGAATTAGCTTTCCATCTTGGATCTCATACTATACTCCAAAAAAGTAGTTTAGATCCATAGTTAATTTTTTTTTACAAGGTTGAAGAATTAATTATTTTTTTATAAGTTTGAAGAAATTTCAGAATTAAATATATATGCTTGAGTTAATTCACAAGAACAATTCTGCCTAGAGGTTAGCTTTGGAGTTATGATTCTTCATCATTAATTAACTAGGTAACTAATTAAACAAGACACTGATCCTTAAAGATTGTCAAGATATGATCCTTGCTTTGAAGAGCTCAGAATTTAGCATGGGAAATAAATATATAAGCAAATGTTGCAACATGATTAAATGCTGTGAAAGCAGCATTGATCAGAACTGGATCAAGTGCTAGGGGAGCTGAGAGGAGAGCATGCCTAACTTTGCTCAAGGAGGGTTAGGAAGATGACATATAGCAGGAGGTCTTAAAGGTCTTGATAGGACTTTGTTGGCAGAGAAGCTATGGAAAATATTTCAGGAACAGTATGAACAATTCAAGAATAAAAGAAAGAGTAAAGCCTATTAAGGGAGTAATGGGTACTTCTGTATGACCAGAGCATATGATTGTGGAGGTGAGTGGGGGGAGGTAAGACAAAAATGGTTGGTAGCAGTCAAATTGTGAGGGCAGTAAGGACTTTGGAATTCATCCTACAGGCAATGAGGAGCCATTGAAAGTTTTTGAGCAGGGAATTGTATGTACTAGTACAGTTTTTAGTTTAGGAAGATAGCTCTTTTAGTTATAGTAGTTTCAGGGTGCCTGGGTGGCTCAGTTGGTTAAGTGCCTTCGGTTCAGGTCATGATCCCAGGACTCTGAAATCAAGCCCTGCATTGGGCTCCCTGCTCAGCAGGTAGTCTGCTTCTCCCTCTCCCTCTACCCCTCCCCCCCTGCTCGTGCTTTCTATCTCTCAAATAAATAAATAAAATCTTTAATTTCAGTAGTTTGGTGAAATATGGTAGAAGCCTGAATAAAGGCATTGGTAATCAGGAGGAAGATGAAGGAGTCAATTTATGACATATTTCATATGGAGAACTGATGGGATTTGGCTGCTGGTTGAGAGTGGTAGGTAGCAAGAAGAAGGGAGGTATTTAGCATGACTCAGATTTCTTGGAAAATAGATGTACATTCTTGTCATTAATGCCATAGGGAAAGAAGGGGGAAGGCAGGTTGGGGTGGCAGGTAAAATAATGAGTTCACTTTTGGACATGTTAAATTTGAAATTCCTGTAGGGATAATTAGGTGGAGATAACCCAAGGCTCAGGAGAGGGATGGAGACTAGAGGTCAAGATTTGGATAAATTTACTTAGGAGAGGATATGAAGTAAGGGGAAGAGACAGACAAGGACAAAGTCTTGTTTAAAAAAAACAAACAACAACGCAGCAATAAAACACCATCTTAACAGAAGTAGAAGAGGAAGGAAGTCAGCAAAGGAGACCAAGGAAGAGGAAATTGGAGAACCAAGAATAGTGCCATGGATACAAGAGCAAAGAGAGGGCATGGTCAACAGGAGTTACAGAGAGGTCATGAGAGTAAGATTTACAATGTATCCATTTGCTTGTCTATCATGAGTTGATACTGTCCTTACTGAGATAAGTGGGCTGGAAGACAGATTGAAGAGATGCATTGGATGAATGGGAGGGGACAATCTAGAAGCAGGCAATAGAGCATTTTCTTTTAAGAAATTTACAAAAAATAAAAAATAAAATGGAAGAAGGTGGTATAGAATCACCATTAAATTGTGCAGAAGACTATGGACTGATATAGGGAAGTTTGTGTCTTGTAGAGATATTAATCCTCATCAGCCAGAACTATTGGACACTTGAAAAGCTGTAAAGTAATGCTTGCTGAATGAATGTTTAGAATGTTCTTATCTTCTTCCTATCCTGTTCCTCTATTAGTGGATCTTGTTTACTGCCTCTTTTTGGATTTATCTTCCTGATCATTTTTGTTATTTACCCCCTTTTCTGACTGGCAGTCTGTTCTAGTGGAATAGACCCTGTGCTTATTTTTATGCTATGTATAACCATTTTCCTCTGCAATATAATTTATGGACTTATTAGGGAGGAAAAGCAAGTTATCCAGTTGGATACCCTCCGATAAGAAACACTTTCATTTGAAGGTAACTTCTATTGAAGATGACTCTCTTTTCAAAACAGTTGGCATTTATAGATATTTATAAACATTTAAAAACGGTTTGATAACTGGAGGAGATAGGCAAATATTGTGACAGTATGTCCTGAGAGATAAGAGGGCTGAAAACTTCAGAAAACCGTCTGCTGAAGAGATGCAGTTATTTATTACTGTGTCTCCAAGATAAAACCAAAACCTTGTCTGGAGTACTGCTTAGAAAGCTAATTGTTCTTATTTTGAGCAAAAATATACTTTTAGGGAAAATTGTGCCTATTACTATCTATTGATAGGGTACAACTAAGGGCACATGGACAATTCTATTTTTCAGTACTGAGAATTAAATAATTATTTGTGAGTGTATACGATATGTCCTTGTTGTAATTTCCACTTCTTTTCCCCCTACCCTGTCTTTTTCTCCTCTAGGTGATATCCCAGTTGTTCCACTTAATTTTGTCATGATATCCCTGGAGGGTCCATTTAGCAGGGATACAGTGGAAGGATGTGTGAAGGAGACATTGCTTTTTTTATCACGATCCATTTCCATCAAACCAAATGTGGAATTTACTTTCAAAGGAATCGGGGTCCTTGTGATTAGAGGCAACAAAGTGAAGATGAGATTTTATAAGGACTTCCTTTGTTCAATGGATGGAAGTGGGGCTTTGGCAAAAGCCCTAGCAAATGTAAATTAATGTTTTCCTTCTCTAAACCCCTCTCCCAATCATAGCTTTGAATTAACTGTGTGTCATTAATTATTAAGAAAAATTCAGGTTGAGGTGTGCCTGGGTAGCTCAGTTGGTTAAGCGACTGACTCTTGATTTCAGCACAGGTCGTGATCTCAGGGTCATGAGATCGAGCCTCACATTGGGCTCCATGCTCAAAGGGGAGTCTGTTTGAGATTCTCTCTCTCCCTCTGCTTTTCCTCCTGCTCGCATGCACACTCTCTCTCTCTAAAATAAATAAATCTTTAAGAAAAAAAAATTCAGGTTGACGTATTTTAAATGGCACTTACCCCAAGTGAAAAGAAGTGCTTTTTTATAGATGATTAACTCTTTGACAAAAAGGTTAGAAGGGCAAAGAAACTTTAAACTAATTTTTGGGTCAATGCCAACTGAAAAATATAAATAGTAATAGAAACTCATAATTCTGAATATTTTATAGTACCTTATGGTTTAAAAATTCTTCCACATGTATTATTTCATTTGAGGTGCAAAACTTCATCAGACTGGCATTATTATCATCCTGATTTTATAAATGAGAAAAATGAGGGTCAGATTATGTGGGAAGACTGAAATCAGGGTGCTAATAAGTGGTAGAACCAGAATTTCTACTCTTTTTTTTTTTTTTTTTTTTGCTGGTTATAGTATTTTAATGAAAGCCTACAATAAATCGAGTCATGGAAATGTATCTTTAACTTTTAATTTGCCATATTGTGGAACAAATTTCATAACTGACCCCATCATTGTTAACTATTCAGTAACTTGTATGACCTTTATGCTAAGTTGGACATAACAGAGTTTAAGGAGCTAGTGAATTAGTCAATCAATGGGACTAACTGAATGCTTAATGTGCCCTAAGTACACATCTGGGAATGAACAAAGTTGGTATAAGTGAATTAGATTATCATAGAATGTTATATAATCCTGTGTCCCATAGAGCAAAAGCCTGATTTTTAAGTGAAAAGGCTATAAAATGAAACTCTATAAATATGGTCAAATTTTACCCTCTAATTTCTTCTTTCATGGAGCTCTGGGGTGGGGACTTTTAAGAGCTGTGCATAATGAGGCTTTTGGTTGTTTTCTCCACAATCTGGCTTCACGCAAGATTTTAAAGAGGGGAACCGACCCTGTGTGTGTAAAGTGGAAACACACACAGGTATAATTCTCTCTTTTCCATGAAAACCAACCAGAAGCAAGGTCAAAGCATTTGCCCGTCTCTAATCTTCAGTGATTCTACGGAACTTTGTAGCTTTAATAATGTGTTTATAAAAGAGGAGAGCATTTTAATTGGCCTGCTGTACTCTAAGACATAACTTTTAAGGAGCGTTTTCTGGAAGTAGTCTGGAGAGAGAGCCTATGAAAAGAGGATGGAGGCCAAAGCAGATGGAGGACTTCTAGCCTTTTTGTCAAAGAGTTAATCATCTATAAACAAGTGTATCACCCTCATGGACAGAGGCACAAAGCACACAGGCCTGTTAAAGGGTCTGAGAAGTCTGGCTACAAAGAAGCCACTTTAGCTGCCTGAATCATGAATCCGGGAACTTTAGGTTAATCCAATACTTGTTAACATCTATAAAACACATTTTAGGAAATTGCTGTAAAATGGTGAGAGTGGTTGTTTTTCCCCTAAATATCCCATAACTTAAACCTGAGTGCTGTCCTGCAGAATGGTTCTCTTGGGAAGCTGTGGGTTTATTTCAATGATGCTGCTTTTGCTGGAAACATATTTAAAACCTCTTTTTGGAAATTCCCTTCAAAGCCTTTTGTAAACCATGTCATTAATCCCAAAATAATTTTGTATATTATTCTATACTAGTATAATGTAATATTGTGATTACTATATAATGTAGTAATAATTATAATAGTTGCCATTTGTTGAGTGCTTATTCTGTGCCAGCCACTTACATATAGTACCTCATAAAAATCCCATGAATCAGATCCTATTGTTATCCCCATATGCCCAGGATCTAAGGCTACATAACTGTTAACAGTAATACGGATGTGAACATGAATCCATCTGACTTCAAGCCCTTCTCTTAACCACCCAGTTTTAGAGTTAATTGGGTCAAGAGTGAAATTAGCATACTTGCTCATTTTCCTGATAGTTTCTATTAAGTTGGCTCTCCCCTTAAGGATGTGTAAAGGAAGCCATAAACTCTGAAGGCAATTTCCAAAGAAGAAATGGTTTGAGAAAAGACAGCATCAGTGGCATTGGTATGGGACTACCCAGGTGATACATGAGCTAATTCTTCATTGGATTTTAAGCTCTAGACTTTAAGCATTCGAAAAAATAACAATAGAGAGTACCATGGTATCCTTGCCTCTGAGACAGCCTATAGCTTAGATTTGTCTGTCCTGGACCACTGCCACAGGTGTAACCCTTTTCTGTCTCTGTCCTTCAGAGGCCGGACACTGTGGACTCCGTGTTGTCTAGCAGAGAGATCTTAGGGAAGCGACCCAACAGTGTGCTTGCATTTCCAAGGTCAGTGCTTTGCTCCACAGGTTCCTCCAGGTACAGCAATCCTTGTTGATTTACTAATGTGATTCGGCCATGTTTCTCACCTCTTCTAGCTCGTGTTCCTTTTAGTGTTCTCTCTCTCTCTCTCTCTCAGTGCTCCAGTAAAGAAGAATTTAATGCATACTTTCCGTGGTTAAGATAGAAAACAATGGGCAGTTAGACTATTCCTTCTTTTTTTTTAGTTTTTTTCTGATGATTTAACGATTCTAAACATCACTTGGTGCTCATCCTGATAACTGTACTCTTAATCCCCTCTGTCTGACCATCCCCCCACCCACCTCCCTTCTGGAAACCACCAGTTTATTCTCTGTATTTAAGAGTCTGCTTTTTTGTTTGTCTCTTATTTTCTTTGTTTGTTTGTCGAACTCATAAGTTCCACATATGAGTGAAATCATATGGTATTTGTCTTTCTCTGTATGACTTATTTTACTTAGCGTTGTACCTTCTAGGTCCATCTAGACTATTCATTTTTTAAACTACTCTTAGTTCCCTGGAAATTCTGATACTACCTCCCATCAACTTTAGTCTCTGCAGTATTAGTGCACTTCTTCTCATCTGCTAAGTTTTCTTCTACCTTCTGTCACTTCTCTGACCTAGCTTCCTCTTTCTGCAGTCTAGCCCACTTCCTGTCTAAGCTCTGGTTTTTACCTCTCAAGCAGTTAGAGAGACAGGTGGAATAAAGGAACAATTTTGTCTCAAGAGTGCCATGGGCGTTACTAGTGGCTGCTGCTAACAATGATTATAATAATGATAATAATAATAATATAATAAGAGTAGAACACTTACTACTGTAGATGTCAGATACTGTTAAGTACTTTCTCAATATTATTGCACTTAATCTTCACTACAACTATTTGAGATATGTATTATAATTTTATCCATTTTATAGAGGTCCAAAATTAATTATAATTTTAATTCTTTTTTTTCCTTTTAACAAGTCAAACAACATGATACTGTATTAAGAGCACTGGAATAGGAGTCAGGAGACTTGGGTTTTATTTCCATTGAGTGGCTATCACTCACTCATCGTATGCCCTTAATCATGTTCTTTTTTTTTTTTAATATTTTATTTATTTATTTGATAGAGAGAGAATGAGAGATAGAGAGCACAAGAGGGAAGAGGGTCAGATGGAGAAGCAGACTCCCCGCCAAGCAGGGAGCCCGATGTGGGACTCGATCCCGGGACTCCAAGATCATGACCTGAGCCGAAGGCAGTCGCTTAACCAACTGAGCCACCCAGGCGCCCCCTTAATCATGTTCTTAGTCTTAATTGCTGTGCCTTTAACTACTATGCATTTCAGGTGGATGAAGTTTGGGGAATAACAACCAGCTTCCCAGAGCATTATTTTCTCATGGTTTTTGAGTGTGGACATCCTCTTGTGTTCATTGGATTGTTGATGGAAGGACTGTATGACATATACCTCAGCAAAATCAGTGTGAGGACCAGAATAAGCATTAGAGATTAGTTAGTCCAACCCCTTCATCTTGTAGATGAAATGACCAAACAACTGACTGGCCAAGTCAGAAATAAAACTATGGCTCCTCACTGCTCCACTGTTCTTTCCATCGCACCATGTTGCCTTCCTCATTAAAAAGAAATCAATGGATTCAAATAATTTTATTTTGATTGTATTTTGAAGGCAAATTCGGCTGCCCTGCTAGGACATATTTTGGCTTCAGCAATCCAGGAGGGAAATAATTGCAGTGAATCAAGACCAGAGATTGACAGGCTTTCCTGTCAATGAGAGAGTCTAGACATGGGCATGAGGACTCAAATAGTCAAAACAGTTATAGATGTTTTATTTATGTGAAGTTTGGCCCCTGAATTTACTGGAAGTACCACTTCTCCCCCATTTTCCTCTCTCCTGCTTGTAACTCTAACCCAGCACTCCATACTTGAGACCACAGAAAATCTACAATTACACACACCAACTGAACAAACCCATTCCCCCATTATGCCTTTGTAAGTCCCTCACTTTTGCCTGGGGAAGGGATGGGGATGTGGGGAGGAGAAAGAGGAGTGGAATGGTTATTTCCAGACATACTCTGCCTACCAGCCTATGAATCTTTGCCTTCAAGCCATCCAATAGCCGCCTTTCACTCTATCACTCCTAATGGCATCTGGTTACAGAACTAGAAAAGACAGACAAATTCAAACTGAAACCAAACCCAAAAGCTTAAATCCCACAAGTTGTCTGTATAAGAGCTGCTTTTGAGCCCCCCAGTATTGAGGGGGAAAGTCTTGATCAGCTCTCAGACTTAGCCTCAGCAAATCAAAGCACTTGTCCCCTTGAGGGAAATGGGCTTACTTCAGAATCAGAGAGCTAGCTGGGTTGCTTCTCAGGATTGAAAGTTCACATGGTCACCTATTCAGGTACAGTGCAGTAAATATCGTGGCTTATTTCTAGGATTGAGCTCAAGGAGATGGAGAACAAACCACCTATGGAGACCATTGTAGAAGAATGTAGAAAGAATAGACAAAGGAAGTACAAATTAAAAGACCAGCCAGACAAAGAAGAAGGCATCAGAGGTAGGCCAATGATTCTGGGTATCATCTGTCATGCTTTACTGCTTATGAGTCCAGCCATATTGCTTAGTGACTTCTATGCCCCAAATAAAGTTAGATTCATGAATAATCACTGTATTATTCTTTCTAACAAATATCTTCTTTTTTTAGATCATGGTTTTTAAAGTTATTTATTTTTAATATATAAATCCTATAATCTCTTTCATAAACATTCATGGAGGAAAAACTACCCATGTTAATATAATTCCTAAAAAGTTATATTTCTTTATTCTAGAAATATAGGAAAGTTCTAAAACAACATTACTAAAAAATTACATAAATGTAATTGTACAATGTAGCATATATGGTAAACATTTAAATATTTCTTAATCCAAAAGAAAGTAAATTCGTTGTGGCTAATAATTACAGAATATCTGCTAAATACTCTGACCATGCTGATATTTTATATATGTTAATTAAATCTCATAAGCCTCAGGATTTTTTCAAGTAGCAATTTTTTTTATGGTAGCCAAACAAGGTTTATTTTAGCAATGTAGAGATTGTTTGGCATTAGGAAATGTATTAAAATTATACAGTTCATCAATAAGAAAAGTAAATCACCCAAATCTAGTTTCTGAAAAGCATTTGCTAGAATTCCACACCTGTTTCTGTTTTTTTTTTAGCCTTTAAAACTGTAGGAAGAGTAGGATAATCTCTTTTTAAATATTACTGTTATTATTTTATTTATTATTATTATTTATTATGTATTATTTGTTTCAGGGGTAGAGGTCTGTGATTCATCAGTCTTACACAATACACAGCGCTCACCACAACACATACCCTCCCCACTGTCCATCACCCAGCCACTCCATCCCTCCCACCCCCAACCACAACATCTAACAAATATCTTCTATTCCTGGAATCTTGTATCTCATCTTGACCACTTGCTGACTCTCAGGCTTTTAGACTATGATCTCTTTGCTGGCTCCCCATTACTTAAAGAGGCCAAAATTCAGATGCCTATGGGGTCCAGGCAGATAATGTAAATGCATGAAGGGGGTTCGAGGTAACATGATAGGGCAATATGTTAGCATAGATGATAATTTTTATGAAAAATGGAGAATGGTAACTTTACATCTTTGATATTTGGCTTTAATAGAAAATAGTTGGATTTTTATGTCTATGTCTTTACTTAATCTGTTATGATTAAGTATGTTATGTGCTGACTTGGTTGAAGCGCATGATGAAAGTCCTAGGACTTCAAAGACGTTTTGAAAGGGTCCTAGAAATCCTTAGGAGTTTCCATACTACCCTCTGAAGACTTCCTCTGAGGGACTGTTGCTTTGTGGGCAACACACGAATTGACAGTGAAGCAAAAAATGCTGATGGGGCCAAACAAAACATATCAGTGGGTAAACACTGGTTTGTGGGTATTAGTTTTGCAACATGGGGTCTACACAACTACATGTAAACTTTTAGCCTAATATTCACATGCTTTTGTGTTTTTAGCCTCATCTGTCACTAGAGACTCCTTCTCTGAGCAAAACTGTTCATATTCTTCTAACATGTCTTGCCCTTCTCTGCTTTCATGCTTTTGTTCTCTTTTTCTCCTGCCTACAATGTCCTTCCTTTTCTTACAGTCTCTCCCAATCCTACTCACTTCTCAGCATCCTTTTTACATCTCACTTCCTCCACAAACACTTCTGTCATCACTGGACTCTGAAGTGTCTTCTTTCTTCTCTGAACATGGCAGACCCTTAAAGATGGCATCATCATTTGGGATATAGACATTTTTCGTCATTGTCCTGAGTTGCTATTTATGCAGTGTATGTAAAGCACTTAGCATTGTTGATAGGTAATAAGACCTCCACAAATGAGAGCTCTCATGTTTTTTCTTTATATCTTATTTTTCTATCCAGCTATAGATCTTCCCCAGTTTAATGAGGGGGTTATGTCCAGATTAACCCATTATAAGTTGAAACTATCATATTAATACACATAACCTACTGAATAGTATAGCTAGCCTATCTTAAATGTGCCATCTAGCCTACAGTTGGGCAAAATCATCCAACACAAAGCCTGTTTTATAAAGTATTGACTATCTCATGTAATTTATTGACCACTGAAAGTGAAAAACAGACTGGTTGTCCGTACAGAGTAGCTGTCAATGCATTGCTTGTTTGCTCTTGTGATTGTGTGGCTGACTAGCGGCTGCAGCTTGCTGTGTTGCCCAGCATCCCAAGGGAGTATTGTGCCACATATCACTAGTCTGGGGAAAGATGACAGTTCAAAATTCAAAGTACAGTTTCCATTGGATGCATATCACTTTTGCACCAACATAAAGTCAAAAAAATCATAAGTCAAACCCCATCGTTAAGGGAACTGTCTGTATATCTATTGAAAGATCTTTAATGGCAAAGACTTGCTTTGCACGTAAGAAGTACACAGCAAAAATATTTGTTTTAACTACACTAGGGCAAGGGACAATAATTTAAGGTGTTTCTTATATAAAAATTTTTCCTGGTAAAATAATGAGTTTTAAAAATCAGTTAAGTATAAAACCACCCATTTAAAGTTGGAAGGAAACTTGGTTTCATTCATTCTACAGAGATCTTATCGCCCAAGAGACTTCGAGATAAACAAGCTATCTCCTCTCCCAAAATGACAAGCATCAACTTGCTGAATAAGTTAGAGCGGAATGGGAGTAGCTGGAAGATTATGAACCCTGAAAGGTAATGAATTGGTATTTTATCTGTTGTATGTTACTAAATGTATTTTTGAGTTATATCTTGATGCAGGGAATTTAAATGAGTGTCCATTCATTCCTTCTTCCGGTAGTCTTGAGTACATTCTACCTGTTAGGTGATTGGGATAATAGATTCAGTCAGGGCTCACAATCTAGTGGGAAAGCCAGATATACATACAGTGATAAATCATGGTTCAGTAGGATACATGCTGTGACAGAGGTGGAAACAAAATAGCACAGAGGAGGGAACATCTAAATCTCTTTGTGGATTTGGGAAAACTTCCCTTGTTGTTTTCTCTTTCCTTTTCTTTTTTTTAAAGATTTTATTTATTTGTCAGAGAGAGCGAGAGAGCAAGAGAGAGAGAACACGAGAGAATGCACAAGCAGGGGGAGCAGAGGGAGAGGGAGAAGCAGAATCCCCACTGAGCAAGGATGTAGGGCTCTATTCCAGGACCCTGGGATCATGGCCTGAGCTGAAGGCAGATGTTTAAACACTGAGCCCCCCAGGCAACCCCCTTCTTGTTTTCTGAGATCCCCTTTGTTGTTTTCTGAGATCTCCCTTGTTGTTTTCTCAGTGCTTGGATATAACAATATGACACAGTTTCTTATTTAGATCAAATTAGCTTTGCTAAACATTGTTGGCACTTAATAAACATTCTTTGAATGAATGAATACATTACACATCATGGCCATGTCTTCTAACAATGTTATGTCAAAAGATTTCTGTTTTCTTTTTTTCTCTTTGAGTAGGACACATTTTAAGACCTCCAGTCAGTCAACTGTATGCAAGTATTTATTGAGCTTCTACTATGTACTTTGCACTGTGCTTTCAACTTTGAATTTATTAATGTGTCGCAATGTATCAGCTATCACATGTGTGATATATGCACTTTCTGGGATACTAAGGTCATGTTCAAAACCCTAGGCACACTTGTTTTAAATAATATCACCATTATGAAAGAGAATTGAGAATTAAATGTCTTGATCTTTGGAATTTAGTTCAGTCCAACAGACACTGAGCACCACTGCATGCCCGGCATTATTCTAGACACTGAAGATACAGAGCTCTACAACGTATAAAAGACATAAAAACTTGCTTTCATGCAAGAATCTTTTAGGGAGACTGATGCTAAAGAAGTAACACACATGACAAAGACAAAAGAAAGTACAGAAACTGCAAAGAGGAGGGAGTAATTGATTGTTAGGGATTATTAGTGAAGGCTTCCTATTGGTATGGACCAAAAAATGGTTTTTGTGCTGATTATTAAAGTAATACATGTTTATCACAGAAATTTTTAAAAAATGAGAAAAGCAAGAGATACAAAAAAATCGGTCATAACCCCATAGAGGAAACTTTCTGCTAACATTATGGTGTATATTCTTCAGTTTAATGCATATACAATATATACATGTACTTTTACTTGAAACCCATACACACATTTTAAGTATAACTGAGATCATATCATATGAAGCTTTGTTATACTCAACAATAATTGGTAAACATTTCCCCATGGCTTTAAACATCTCAGGACATAAACAAATAATTGCACATCATTTCATTGATTTAACTTTTTGTCTGACCAATCTGCTTGTGTATATTTGGATGATTTTTAGTTTTTTAAATATTATAAATGATCCTGTTATACTGATACACATAAGTCTCTGCACACATTTGAATATTCTGTAGGATAAAAACTTTAATGTAAAATTTTCAAGATAAGAGATGAGCCCATTTTTCATGTCTTTGATACATGTTACCAATTATTCTCAGGAAGGTTGTATCAAATTATCTTCCCAGTAGCAGGAATATGAGGGAGTGCTATCTTCTCCAGAGTTTTGTTAATACTGGACATTGTACCCTCCAATGGATTCCCACACTTATCCAGGGTAAAAGCCAAAATCCTTGCCATGGTCTTCAAGATCCTCCCTGATCTCTCTCCTGCTTTTTGTCCACGATCTCATCTCCCTCTGGCCACATTGAGCATAGGCATACTCCCACATCAAGGACTTTGCACTCATTCACTCTGCCTGGAATACTTTTCCCGTCAGATAATCTGATTATTTTTTCTCCCTCACCTTATTCAAATGTCACCTTCTTGGTGGAACTTTCCTGGGCATTCTGCTTATGGTTTAATACTCCATCCCTCTAGCACTGCAAGGCATTTATCACCATCACACATACTATTGAATTCATTCATTTATCTTGTTTCTTAACTGGCTATCAGATCCTATCAGAATGTTAATTTCATTAGGACCAGGATTTCTTTTTCTTTCTTTTTTTGTATGTTTTGTTCTTCACTGCATCTCCCATGCCTAAAACAGTGCATGTAGTAAGCACAATCATTTTATAGAATGAATATATTTTATCCCAGTTTCACAGAATTGGTAACTGAGACTTTGCAAGATGACCCAGCTTGCCTAATGGCAGTCAGCTTGTAAGCAAAAAAGCTGGATTTCAAACCCAAGTTTATTTGATACGAAGCATGGGTTCTTAAACTCTATACATATAGATTCTCTGGGAAAAAAAAACCACTAAGATATTTTTCTTTCTCTTATATTTATACCTGCCTGTAAAATTATCATTGCTCATGTCAGACTGTTTAAACATTAATTAATGTTGCACTGTTTTTATAGCTTATCATCTCCAGGTTGTTTGAAAAATGACAGTGAAATGAAGCCTCAACTTTCTCCAGTCCCCGCTTGCCAGGATCATAATAAGGCAGGACAGGTACAGTGTCTTCAAACAAACACAATCCAATCAGAATCTTCCTCTGACTTCTGTTTCTCAATGAGAGTTATGGGAATTGCTCTTTTTTCATTGTATAATATGGCTTATGTACTTAGGACCCAAAACTGGACTGTGATAAATCTATCTACTAGTCAAAATCTGCTAGGGTTAACAGAAGTAGGGTTGGGATATCTTTCTAATTTTCAGTTGCTATAAATACTTCTGATCAAGTGAGAGTTCAGTAAATCCTCTTGAATATTTGTGGGGCCCACTCTACAAATCTCATTTTGCTAATTGTCATTAATACGTCCTTTTATAAAGTATGTTGCTTGACATACTCAATCTTTGGAGAGCTAGTAAAGGGATTGTGAAGGAAGAAAGTAAAAGGCAATAATTTGTCTTCAAACCTGGTGTTGTAGGAAATGTGTTATGTGTGTTTGCAACGAGCACAGTGCAATTCCCCATTGTACTACAGTGAGGAGACGAAGAGGAGAGAGATAGAAGATGAGCGACTCATTCAGCAGTATCAAATCCTGAAGGATCAAGAGGCTCTCTTAAAACACCAGGTAGTTCAATACCTCGATTAAAGAGTGCTTAACATGGGACAGTAGAACATGATTATAAAGTGCCATTTAATATGCTCCATTAGGTGCCTGGGTGGCTCAGTTGGTTGAGTGTCTGACTCTTGATTTCAGCTCAGGTCTTGATCTCTGAGTTCAAGCCCCATATTGGGCTCCAAGCTGGGCATGGAGCCTCCTTAAAAACAAACAAACAAACAAACAAACAAACTCCCTTAAATATGTCTGTACTATAACATATTTAATCATTTACTTACTGCTGGATTAAAACTTAGGTTGTATCCAAGTTTTCACTAATAATGAGCAACACTGGGATGAACATCCAAGCAGCTGAATGTTTGCACCTGTCACTGATTTCTCCCTCTCCCCCACCCCCAAGGATTGTATTTTAAAAGTAGAATTCCTAGATTTATGTGGTTTTACTTGTGCTTTCTAATAAGATATAATCAAGGCTTTTCCCTTTAAATTCATGACCTAAGCCAAGCAAAGAGAGAATGGCATGTTCACATTTCTCTATCCAGATTTCTGTGGTCTCCAATAATTGACCCCACTGCTCTTTCTTGCATTTGTGATATCAGGTAACTACTTATGAAATCTTCCATTGCCTCTTACGATTCCCATAGAGGTGCTGCCTAAAGCTCCAAAACAGGAAATAAAAAAACCTTCCCCAACCCACTTTTATAAATCTATGAAGACATCAGAGAGTACCATTGCCTCCAAAAGGCAAGTTTCTACCTTGGTTGGATTATTATAATGTAATAGAATTAAAATTTTAAAGGCTTTATGTCAATATGTGATGTTTTTTTCAAAGATGAGAAGTCTGGCTAATAGAGAACAAAATCAGAAAAATGCTGCCTACAATCTTGGAGTTGCTGAAGCTATAAGAATCCACAAGAATGAGAAACCTGAATTTTATGTGAGTCTTTCCAAAATTTCTATTGCCAATACCTGCCCCATCTGTGAATATTTGGATCCATTCTCTGTACTGCAGGCTGTGCCATTGTTTAAGAGGTGAAATGTGGGTTGTGCAAGGTTGAAGCCTTGTTCTGGGTTAGGAGTTATCCAGCATCTGTGTCCAAACTCTTCACATTTACAATACAGTCCCTATTAGATACTATGACACTTGTTAATGATAGTAAATCTCAGCCAGGCCCTGGGGTGGGTGGTGGGGGGCAGTGTACTAAAGTAATGCCCCAGGAACCACAGATCTGGAGAGCCAGCATTACCTGGGAACTTGCTGGAAAGGCAGAATCTAGGGCCCCATCCCTCCAGAGTGGGAATCTACATTTGAATAAGATCCTCCTGAGATTTGTAGGTGCATTGAAGTTTGAACAGCCAGCTGCTTAGATAGAGGTGAGCCATCTGCTTCACCATGGATTTAATGTTTTCAATCACTGTGTGCCTACCTTTAATTTGCCTGAATCTTTCTCCCTTCACACCACTGTCTAGGTGGTCTGACACTCTGGACATAACTCTAATAAAATATACTTTATTTATCACCAAACATCTATTGAACTCCTTTGTGCTGGCCGCCATGCTCGTGGCTAGGAATACAAAGATGAATAAGTCAAGGTCCCTCTTGAAAGAGGTCTTAGGCTACTGGAGGAAACAGGTTTAAAGTCCTGAGTGTGGTATAATGAATGTTATGATAAATCTTTGAAGAGGGCAGTTTGTGAGCAAAGAGTCACTTGACCAGACCAGAGATCTGGGGAGATTCCTTGTATATACCAGTTAGGTAAAGGAGGGAATGGAAGGAGAACCTTCCAGGCAGGGCTGGCAGGGAGGGAGGTAGGAGACATGATACTTTTGAGATTTAGGCCTGATTCTTTTCTCTTCTTACATAAAAGTTCCAGACTATGTTTATTACTGCCTACTTTGTGTATCCTCTTTGATATATCTGCAGACGTCTTAAAAAGACCAAAACAGAACTTTTGATCCCTCTCCTCACCTCTTCTTCTCTTAGCCTCCCCATTTCAGTAAGTGGCATCACCAGACAGACAGTTGCACAAACCCAAACCAAGGAGTGATCCCAGGTTGCTCCTTCTTTGTCTCCCCCATCCAACCATCCTCAAGCACAGTTGCCTTTACCGCCCAAATGTACCCAATCTTTTCACATCCCTTCATCTTCAATGCTACCACCCTAGTACAAACCATATTATAAAGCTCAGCTTCTGAAATACTTCCCTAATTAGGTTTGCTGCTTGCCTTCTTCCCCTTTACAGTCTATTCTCCACACCACAGTCAAGTGATATTTTTAAAACTTAACCCAAACATATCATTCTCCTGTTTAACTGACTGAGCCACCCAGGTGCCCTATCATTCTCCTGTTTAAAACCTGTAATGGGGGGCGCCTGAGTGGCTCAGTCGTTAAGTGTCTGCCTTCGGCTCAGGTCATGATCCCAGGGTCCCGGGATCGGGCTCCCTGCTCGGCGGGGAGCCTGCTTCTCCCTCACACTCCCCCTGCTTGTGTTCCCTCTCTTGCTGTCTCTCTCTCTCTGCCAAATAAATAAATAAAATCTTAAAAAAAAATCTAAAACCTCTAATGGTCTCCCACTGAGTTAAAATAAAATCTAAACTCTTATCTTGACCTATGAGGTCTATATGGCCCTGCCTTCCTCTTTGAGCTTACCTGCTACTTTCCCCTTGCTCATTGTGCTTCAGCCATGTTGACCTTCTTTCTGCTCATTATACATGCCTAACTTGTTTTCATCTAGTGCCTTTGCACTTTCTGTTCCTTCTGTATGGGTCACAGATTACCTGATATTTGCAGTGGAGGTGATTCAGTCAACTTTACTGAAAAGCCTTCCCTAATAACCAACCACTTTAGCTCTGTTCCCACCCATTTGCTATGATAAAGACTTCATAGCACTTAATCACTACCTTAAATTATCTGATGTATGTTCACTTGTTCCCTGTCTCCTGTACCAGAAGGCAGGCTCCATGAACCAGGCTCTCTGCGGATCTCTGTCAGTGTCTAGAATGGCCAGGCCCAGAGAGGGTATTCAGTTCTCCCTCTTCCCACATCTGCTCAGTCCTTGCTCATGCTTTTGCACTCACTCAGAACGCCTTCTTTCCATCTGTGTGTGGTGCTAGCTCAGGATCTCCTCCATGACATTCTTTTTCATCTTTCTCTCAGATACGGGATTTTGTCTGTTCTGCTGATTCATCCTTGAGCACACTCCCATTATTCTGTGGGTTGCCTCAACACTAGCTGGTCAGTGTGTTGAGGACTGGGCAAATAGTATAAATTAATAATTGATTTTAGTGTTCTGAATTACCACTTTTATTCTTTGTTCTTTTTGGTATTTTAAAGTAAAATGCATTGCTTCTTCTTCATTCTAGAAATCTTTCCTGTTTGATAAACGGCCACTCAGTCCTGAGATTAATGCTTTTAAACAAGAAGAATATTCCCAAAGTCTCCTGAAACAAATGGATTACAGACGGGAAAAGGAAATAAAGCAAAGACAAAACAGAGAGTTGATGGACCGCCTAGAACAAGTGCAACTCACAGAGGAGTGAGTCTAGCTGACAGGCTCTGAAAAATGGGTTCAGAATTTTCATGTGAAGCTTATTTCCATGTGGGATTGATTAGCACAGCTGTAACCGACTGGTACTGACTGAGCAAACCAGCCCAGCTAGCCACCAGTACCACAGCATGACATTTCATTAGAAACATGAAAAAGCTGTTATTATTATGACCATTAGAGTAATGATTAGCAATCTATAATTAATGATAGAGTATCATTTTGTATTGTTTTGTGATCACTAATACTGGCAGCTGGAGGAAGGGACTTGTCTTGAACAAGCAGCATTCTCAGCTATTCCCAGTTGATCTCAAAGCAAAGCTGGGGTTTTGTTGTAAGTAGGCGTGTCCCACGGAAGCCAGGGGCAGGAGTGTATGGGGGACGAAGGGGACTAGAACCAGGGACTAAAAAGTCATGTAAGAAGTGCTTTCCTTCTGCTCACACCTACAGCTCCTTGGTTGACATCATCTTTTTTCCAGCTCACACTTGGATGAATGTTAGTCTCAATTACAAATTTTCAGGAATGAGAATCTGATTGGTCTTGCTTGGGTCGTCTGAGGCCTGGGGTAGGGTCAGAGTTCAAACATGCCCCAGGGGGTCACACTTCTACTACTGAGGTCAGGAGAGCAATTAAAGAGGCTATTGCAGTGGGAGAGAGACTCCTAAAACAAATAGTAAGCTAGTTTTTGTGACCAAACGATTATTTTTCTATAAAATATATATGTTCCATTATACTCGCTTTATGGATCATGTGGGTTCCCTGTGGGTTGCAAACAGCAGAATCATAATTTATAATAGGAAAGATCACTTTTCTTAAAAAGGAATCTTATGGTGAATCATTTTATAGAATGAATAGACACTTCCTGCTTTCCTGTCTAGATTTTTTTTTTAAAACACGAGGGGTGGAGGGGTACCTGTTTTAGTCGTAGTGAATTTGGACAAACCGGTCAAGCCCTTGCTCACACCTGTCCTGTCTGTCCTGTATTCAACACATTGTCCACTAGCCTATGGATCTGTTACTCCTTTCTTCATTTCTTTGCTCCTTCCATTAAAATGAAAGCTCTAGAAGGAAGTATCACTTTTTATTTACCAGTCTCTCACTCCTACTGATACTTAGGAAATAGGTTTTAGTGATGTTAGTCTCTATTACCAGAGACAGTAACACACTGTGCCCTCTACCTTCTCTTATTCTTAACTGCCAGACTTGCTGCACAAAGAGCCCAGTATATAAAAGATAAGATGGAAGAAACACAGTGTTATAAGAGAGCTTTGGATGCGCAGGTAAGGGGACAATTGTTATTTTTAAAATTATGCAGTGCTTCATTAGCATTCTAAAAATATGTATAAGAACTGTCATGTTATGAGTAGCCTTATGTGTTACCCATTTGGCGGTTTTGGGGGCCCTGTTCTTTCCTCTAAGGGACTGGTATTTTACTGTGCTACGGTGTCGTGCGTACAGTTTATTGCCTGGTATAATTTTGGTCTGCACGATGTGTGTCTCTGTTTCAGATAAAGAACAAACCCCTGCAACTGCCCATGTTTGAGCCAGACTCTTGTGAGCCCATCTTTGGTAAGGATGAGGGTGAGCTGATGGTGGAAAAGCGCAAGCGAGAACAGAATTACATGAAGCACCAGCTGGAGGCTGCTGCCAGCCACAAGAGGAGAACCATCCTGCAGCAGCTGGTGGAACAGAAGCGGGACTTGCAGATGCTTCGGAGGACACAAAAAGAGTAAGAGACCCCAGATCTTTCTTCCTCCTCCTCCTCTCCTCCTCTCTTGCTCCCCTCTCCAACTTCCCATTTTCTTTCTTTCTCCTACAACAGCACAGAAGCAATAATAATAGTGAGCACAGTGAGGAGTAACTGTGTGCAAAATATTGTTCTAAGCTTATCAAATCCTTCATCTTATTTTGTCCTTACACTTCACCCTATGAAGAAAAGTTATTGTTTAAAAAAACCCAACCAGCCAGACCTGATCCTACCTCTCCCTCTAGGTACCTCTCCATATTTTTCCTTCCGTTTACAGTACAACTTCTTAAAGAGGTGTCCAGATCCATACTATCCATTGGAAATACAGTGTGAGCCACAACCATGCTGTTGTGGCACAAGCCGGTGGGGAGGGCGGGGAGGCAGAGGGAGAAGGAGAAGCAGACTTCCCACTGAGCAGGGAGCCCGATGCAGGGCTTGATCCCAGGACCCTGGGACCATGACCTGAACTGAAGGCAGATGCTTAACCAGCTGAGTCATCCAAGTGCCCCTCAATTAGACACTTACGTGAAATTTGAGCTCCTTCTCACTTCCAATGAGCCCCCTTCCTTCAAAGAACTGTTGATGTAGTGAGCTGTACTTATCATGGCGGGTGAGGGGGATGAGGGGGGTGAGGGGGGTGAGGCCGGTGAGGGGAAGTGAGGGGGGTGACGGGGGGTGAGGGGAGTGAGGCGGGTGAGGCGGGTGAGGCGGGTGACGGGGGTGAGGGGGGTGAGGGGGGCAGGGTGGGCAGGGCAGGACTGGATGCTATATCAGTGCAAATATCTTTAAATTCAAACACCAGACACCCAGTTTCTTTCTTTCTTTTTGATTTGATGAGTTTATACATTATGCTATGTTCACCACAAGTGTAGCAACCATCTGTCCTGTTACATTGCTCTTACAGTATCATTGACCGTATTCCTTATGTTGTGCCTTTTATTGCAATGACTTATTCATTCCATAACTGGAAGCCTATATGTCCCACTCCCCTTCACCCATTTTCCCTGACCCTCCATGCCCCTCCCTTCTGGCAACCTTTCAGTTTGTTCTCTGTTGATTCTGCTTTTTGTTTGTTTATTTGTTTTTTTTTTTAAGATTCACATGGCATTTGTCTTTCTCAGTCTGACTTATTTCACTTAGCATAAAACACTTTAGGTCCATCCATGTCTCAAATGGCACAATTTCGTCCTTTTTTGTGGCACTGTAATATTCCATGGTGTGCATGCATGTGTGTTTATATGTACATATGGATATATACCACGTTTTTCTTATCCATTTGTCTATTGATAGATACTTAGGTTGCTTCCCTATCTTGGCTATTGTAAACAATGCTGCAATAAATGTAGTGGTGCAGATATCTTTTTGATTTAGTGTTTTCATTTTCTTTGGGTAAATACCCAAATGTAGAATTATTGGATCATATGATAGTTCTAGTTTTAATTTTTTGAGGAACCTCCATACTGTTTTCCACAGTGGCTGCACAAATTTCTATTCTCATCTACACTGCATGAAGTTTTCCTTTTTATCCACATCCTCGCCAACACTTGTTTCTTGTCATTTTGATTTTAGTCATTCGAACTGGTATAAAGTGATATCTCATTGTGGTTTTGATTTTCATTTCTCTGATGATGAGTGATGCTAAACTCTTGTCATTCCCAAGCTGTATGACCTGGGCCAAAACATACGTGGGATCTTTGAGCCCTCATTTCCTCACATGAAAAGGAAGGATAATATACCCCCCTACCTATCCTTACTCTGAGAAGGATATGAGAGTATGTATTTGAGAACACTTTTGGAAACTGCAAAGCTCTGAACAAATATGAGCTGTGGTCTTGGTTCCGGTCACAGACCCCCCCTTTTCTGTATGGGTCAGATCCTTCTCTTCCATTTCTATATCCTTTACTACTTATTCCAGGTTCTCTTACTTATTTTCTCTCTCTCTTTTTTAAAAAAGATTTTATTTATTTGACGGAGAGATAGAGCCAGAGAGCACAAGTTGGGGGAGGGTTGGGGGGCAGAGGCAGAGGGATAAGGAGAAGCAGGCTTCCTGCTGAGCAAAGAGCCCAATGTAGGGCTCGATCCCAGAACCCTGGGATCATGACCTAAGCTGAAGGCAGATGCTTAATGTGCTGAGCCACCCAGGCGCCCCTCTTACTTTATCTTCTCTTTTCCAACTTCCCCGTCTCTGGTCCATCTCAAGATGTCATCTTAGGTCCTCCTGTGGCAAGTACAGGGTCACTTTCAGAGGGGTAACTGGGTCAGTGTGATCTAAACAGGGCTGCTAAAGTATTGTTTTTCTTTAAATTTTTCTGCTTTTGTTTATAAAAAATAGAACAATTCATGTTCATTAAAATAAGTCAATTGGTGCAGACATTAAAAAAAGGTTAGGGGGGCGGAGCAAGATGGCAGAGGAGTAGGAGACCAGATGTAGACCAGGAGTAGGAATTCAGCCGAATAGGGATCAAACCATTCTGAACACCTATGAACTCAACAGGAGATCGAAAAAAAGAATAGCAACTCTCTGAACAGAAAAATGACCACTTTCTGGAAGGTAGGACGTGTGGAGAAGTGACTCCGAGGTGATATTCGGGAGGATAGACGGTGGGGGAGGGGGCCTCCGTCAGCCGCTTCTGGCAAGTGATGGAGCTGCGGAGCACAAAATCGGAACTTTTAGAAGTCGGCTCCGCTGAGGGACGTCGCTCCAGTGGCTAAGTGGGGGGTGGAACCCTCGCAGGACAGTGTGGTCTCAGGACCCTCGGGGTCACAGAAAGACCGGGGGTGCCTGAGTGCAGCAGAGCTCCCAGATATCAGAGCTGGGAAGCCGGCTGCAGAGATGGAGCCGAGGCGCGGGCTCTCAGCTCAGGATTGCCATAAACTGTGATCGGTGACAGTCGGGCCACTGCTCCTCCAGCAGGGACCCAACAAGTGGCAGACCCAGGGAGACCCCCCCTTCCTCCCCAGGGAAGAGCGATGCAGGAGCACCCTGCAGGAATCTGCTGGGTTTGGAGACTCCACACCGAGTCGGGTGCCAGAGATAGAAACACTCGGTCACAGGCTGGGTGAGCATGGAGTGCGGCCGGAGACCAGGGAGACGGGAGTGACTGACTGCTTTTCTCTGGGGGCGCACTGAGGAGCGGGGCCCTGAGTTCTCGGCTCCTCACAGGCGGAGATTGGGAGGCCGCCATTTTCACTCTCGTCCTCCAAAGCTGTACCGAGAGCTTGCAGGGAACAAAAGCTCCCGAGAGCAAACCTGAGCAGATTGCTTAGCCCAGACCGGCAAGGGCGGGGCAATTCTGCCTCCGGCAAAGACATTTGGGAACCGCGGCAACAGGCCCCTCCCCCAGAAGATCAGCAAGAACAGCCAGCCAAGACCAAGTTTACCGATCAATGAGAACAGCAGAACTCCAGCAAAGGGGAATACTGCACATAGAATTCATGGCTTTTTTACTGTGATTCTTTAGTCTTTCAAAGTTAATTTTTTTAACTGTCTTTTTTTTTTGAATTTTTCTTTTTCCCTTTTTCAACCAACATCTTACCAATCCCTTTTTTAAAAAAACATTTTTATTTTTCATTTTTAGTCATATTCTATCCCTTCATAGTAGTTACCCTTATTTTTGGCATATATATATATATAAGTTGTTCTCTCTTTAAAATTTTGAGATACAGTTTCTTCTAACAGATCAAAATATACCCTAAATCGGTAGTGTATGGCTTTGTTCTGTTTTTTGTTTTTTTGTTTTGTTTTTTTTGTTTTTTTCTGTTTTTCTTTCGGACTTCTAAAAGTTCCGATTTTGTGCTCCGCGGCTCCATCACTTGCCAGAAGTGGCCGACGGAGGCCCCCTCCCCCACCGTCTATCCTCCCGAATATCGCCTCGGAGTCACTTCTCCACACGTCCTACCTTCCAGAAAGTGGTCATTTTTCTGTTCAGAGAGTTGCTATTCTTTTTTTCGATCTCCTGTTGAGTTCATAGGTGTTCAGAATGGTTTGATCCCTATTCAGCTGAATTCCTACTCCTGGTCTACAGCTGGTCTCCTACTCCTCTGCCATCTTGCTCCGCCCCCCTAACCTTTTTTAATGTCTGCACCAATTGACTTATTTTAATGAACATGAATTGTTCTATTTTTTATAAACAAAAGCAGACTAGTGTTCTAGTCTCCTGCCTGATCACATTCTCTCCCCTTTTTTTTTCTTTCTTTCTTTCTTTCTTTCTTTCTTTCTTTCTTTCTTTCTTTCTTTCTTTCTTATTTTTTAATCCTCTTCTTTCTTTTTTCAAGCACCTTATCAATTCCTTTTTTAAAATTTTTTATAATTTTCATCTTTACAGTCATATTCCATCCCTTCATTGTATCAACCCTTATTTTGTACATATATAAGTCTTTCTTTCTTTAAAATTTTCGGAGACACTTTCTTCTAACAGACCAAAATACACCCAAAATCTAGTGTGTGGCACTGATCTGTGCACTAGCCTGATCATATTTGATCATATTGTTTTTTCTGTTTTATTCTGTTTTTGTTTGTTTTTATCTTTATCTTTTTCTTTTTTTTTTTTTTT